GCAGCGGCCGGCCCCGGCTGCTCTCGGCGGCCGCGGACCCGGAGGACCCGGCACCCGAGCTCTGCGCTCAGCCTCGGCCGCCGGCTCTTTATGCCGCCAGCGCGGGCCGTGGGCGGCCCCGTCACCGAGCCACGGCTCCCATTGGCCCGGGCTCAGGCTCCCCGCCCGCGCCCCCAGCCTGCCGGCCCGCCTCCCCGCGCCCACGCGCGCTCCCGGCGGAGGGAGGACCCACCCCCTGCACACCCGGCGGCGGCGGCGGCTGACTAATGCGCTCGCTCGCACCGCTCCCTCCCTGACCCATTCAGCCCGTGGGACCGAGACCGTACTGGGAACAGGCCGGCGACGCCCACCCCCGCCAGCCGTCGCCGGGCAGGGAGGCCCGGTGAGCGCCCCGCTGCCCCCAGCCAGAGGTAAGGAGGAAGCCCCTCCCCCGGGCCTCAGGGTCAGCTTCCTCTTGTGTCTGCTGTGTCCTGACTGGGGCGGGGGCCGGGGGCGCTGGACTCTGCTCTCCGGGGCCGCCGGCCGCAGACCTGATCTTGTCCAGTCCGGGCCTGCAGGATGTTCAGCTACAGGTGAGACGTGGCAACGACCCCATATTGAGACCCTCTTTCGCTTGGGCTGAAGACCTCCAGGAGTTTTCCTGTGCACACACGCTCCCAGGTGTCAGGTGTGAGCTCCCGGACGTGGCCTTGAGCTTCCGTCTATCCCCGCCCTGGGCGCCCTTTGCGTCCAGGCCCTGGGCTGGTCCTGCGCCCCGGGTAAGGGACAGGCACCCAGGCCTTGGCTCTCCCAGGGCCCCTGGACTTGGTGTGGGTGTGTGTCGCCGAGGTGGCAGTAGCTGGACAGGACTGCCCCGTGCCCCCGTCTCCCAGGTCTTTGCTGAGGCCCAAGACTTCTCCACTTAGTGCCTCCCAGGAAACCTGGCAGCTGCTCTTGGGGCGTGGGGGGGGGGCGGCGTGTGGAGGAGACGGAGGGGCCCTCCACCCACCGCAGGGTGTAGGCCCTGAACCCCAGGCCACAGCCCAACCGGTCAGAAGCTCCAAGACCTCTGCAGGGGGGAGAGGGTGCTGGTGGCCTGATGCAGTCAGGAGAGGTAGAGAAGCAAAACACCATAAAAGGAATGGGGCTCCGGAAGCTGAGATTCCCGCAGGAGGGAGGCCCCCTTCTGCCTCCCTGGCAACAGTGGTGGGGAGGGGCCCTCCCCCTGTGTCCCCGTCACGATGGGTGTGGGTCCAGGTCCTCTGCTGCTCCATGCGCACAGGTAGTACATACCTGCCCATGGCCACACACAACCAAGGCCAGTCAAGACCCCCTAGCCCTGCTGCCGGTCTTCCGCTCTCACACGCACACTGCACACTCATCTCCCCTCCCCCACAGAGATACTCATAGCTCCCCACCCACCCATCCTCCCCCTGCCCCCCGTCCAGTCATCCCCATCCACGCCCAGCCCCTCACACCAGGCCCGCCGGCCCCCGGGTCTCATTAGCACACTCAAGGGCACGCAGGTACACCCCGCTCTGGAGTCCCCACTCCCTGCCCCCCTTGGAGGCCCCTTCCCTGCCACCCCCTACCGCCCCCCAGAGGCAATCTGCCACCTCCTTTCCCTCTCTGAGCTTCCACCCTTGGTGGGGGGAATGTCTCTGGCAGAAACTCCCCCAAAATCGCTCTTCTGGCATTTCTAATTAAAGGCAAGTGGGTGAGCAGAGAGGGGAGGGTGGAGGGGCAGCACGGAGCAGGGAGGGGGAGTCGGGCCAGAAGCTTCGAGAACAGGAACCCCTGCCGAGCGTGCGAGCCTGTGTGTAAGATGCCTGTGTGGCGGCGAGCGGGCTGGTCACCGCGGGGCCTGAGTGGAGCCGCGAGCCCGCGACCGTGTCTGGGTGAGCCCCGGCCTGCGTCCGAGGGCCCTGCTCTGGAAAGGCACGCGATGAACCAGCTGGGCAGGGACCGCGCTCGCACACCTGCGTTGTGTGTGCGCGCGTGTGTGGGGGTGCCAGAGCCATCACTCGAGTGACCAGGAGCCACCCCTCCACTTCCTCCCACGGTTGACAAAGGCCATGTGGCCCCCGGGGGCCGGCACCCAGACCCAGGAGCCCTGATCAGCTGGGCGGCCCAGGCAGGAGACTGGAAGGGGAGGCAACCCCTTTGTGGGGGGAGGCAGGCAGGAGAGGGGATCTTAGGGCAGCCCAGCAGGCAGGGCTGGTCTTGACCCAGACCCTTGGTGGCCCGTCTGCGTGGCCAGCCCAGCCTGACGTGGGGGGGGGGGGCACGGCCCAGAGGCCGCATTCGCAAGGCCGCTGTGACAGGTGACAGGCCACAGCCACTGCTCCAGGAACACCTAATTGCTGCCAGCTTTTGCGCCAGTAGCCCTCAGCCCCCCCCGCACTGCAGCCTCAGGCTCCACTCTTGCGCCTCCGGGAAGCAGCCTCACCCAGAGCAGGACGACTCAGGGCCGCAGGCCGAGTGTGGCAGGTGGAGCAGGGAGCCGGGCCTGGGCCTGGAGGCGGGGTGCCTGGGCTTCCCCAGCTCTCAGAGACAGGCTGGTCCGCTGCTCCTCAGGCCTGCCAGCTCCCGAGGCCTCGCCTGCCTTAGAAGATGGGGGCTTTGTGGGGGAGGGTGGGCAGGCAGGGTGACCACAGGAGGGTCTGCCCAGCGCTGGGAGCCACGCAGCCCCCCATTCCAGCCCCTCTGGGGCTCCGCCCGTCTGCCCCTAGGGCCCCAGGCTCCCAGACCCCAGGTGATGCTCTCCTGATGCTAAGATGCTTATTTCGAGGGGGTCTCCCCGCAAGTCCGCAGCCTCAGGAAACCCACCCCAAACAGAGCCCTGGATGTCTCCACTTTCCCCGGACAGCCCCCGCCCTCCCAGCAGCTGCTGCCTTCCCAGGGCTGCTCTGTGACCAAGTCCTCCCCGACGGGGCTCACACACCGGCCTCTGTAAACCCCTCAGAGCCGGCCCCTGGGCCCCCAGAGGTGCTGGAGGTGCCCCTCAGCAGGGCAGGACAGGCCGTGCAACCTGAGCTCCCTCCCCGGCCCGCCTGGGGGCCGGAGCTGGCCTGCCTTCGAGCAGGGCCCCGGCCATAGTCCTGCGACTCCCAGCCTCACGCGAGCACCCAGCGCTCGCAGGAGCACCTTGGGGCGGAGCTCCCGCGTCTCCCGCACTCGCGCTCTCCTGGCCGCCTGCCCAGGAGCCGCTGTGGTAGCTGCTCGCAGAAGCTGGGCCAGGGCTGCTGTGTCCGCCGCTCACTCTAACCTGACCCTTCCTGCCTGGCTTTGGCCTGGGGTCCAAGTGCCCACCCTCCACACGTACCCACTGCCTGTCCTGCCCCCAGTGGGACCGTCCTGGGTCACGTGGCCTCATTCCATCTCCTTGCGCCCACCGGCAACGCCAAAGGCATGTCCGGGCCCAGGCGTCCTGGTGCTGCAGGATCTGCCCACCTTGGCCACAGCTGCTTCTGGCCGCTCGCCTGCTCCGGCTCCCCGCAGCAGGCCGCTCCTTCCTTCGGCCCAAATCCAGGCCTCCCTCGGTTGCTGCTTCCCTCTTGCTGGCTGCGACTCTGGCACCAGGGCCCATATCTGCACCTCACAGCTGAGTGGCCGGAGCCTGGAACAGAGCACACATTCGGGATGAGCCGCGAAACGGGCAAAGTTATGGGCCCTTCTCCCTCCCTTTCTGGTTGGGAAGCATTTGGCCGTTGCCCACCTGAGCCTCAACTTCCCACCTGTAAAATGGGGTGACGGTGCCAGGGCCCGGCGTCCAGCGAGGCCGCGTGCTGGCCCTCTTGCCTCACCCGGTCCCCGCCCGAGGACTTCCCCCACCTCGTCCTGCCAACAGCCTCCCGTCAGAGTGTCACTTCCGGGATCTGGGAGGTGGGACGTGGTCAGGACCCCCTCCCTGTGGCCCCTCCTTGCTCTGCCCCCTGAGGCAGCGATGGGGCCACAGGGACGCCTGCGCAGGCCCCGGTGCTGAGGGCCGAGCAGAGGCGCTGGGGGAGCAACTGGCAGAAGGGGTCTGAGCCCAGGCAGCTGGGAGGACGCCAGGCCCCCCGTGGGCCCCACCACCACCACGGCCGGCATCCAGCCACCACCCTCCTCTGAGACCACCTGCAGCGGGGCCGGACCGCGGGGAGGGAGAGACAGGGACGGCCGAGGGCCGGGACACAGGGCTTAGAGCTGAGATGGGGAAAGAGAGCGTCCAGGTGGGAAATGGAGGGGCAGCGAGAGGGAGAGACGCCAGGGCTGGTGGGCTCCTGTCTCGGGAGATGTTCTCCCTCATCTCACAGAGATTCTGCAAGGTGGGGGCCCTCCCCAGGCCCTGAGCCGGCAGGTGACACAGCTGGGGTCCCTCTGCCACACCTCCCCGAGATGTCTGCTGCAGCAGAGCGGGCCCTGAGAGACCCCGGGAGGCCAGGGCAGAGCGGGGAGGGGTCTCGGGAGACCCGGCAGGGCAGGGCAGGGCAGGGCATTCGCTGACCTGAGACGGGAGCTGCCCAGGGAGGGGGCAGGGCCCGCCTCGGGGCCATGGGAAGCAGTGGCGCTGGGCCACGGGGAGGGCTCGGAGCACCCCAGCCGCAGGGACATTGTTTTTCCCATCTTTGCCCCTCCTCCCGGACTTCCTCCTCTCTCCCGGTTTGGCAGGGTGTGCGCTGCGTCCTGTCCCCGGAACAGGCAGCCTGTTCATTCCGGGCCTCCACACTCCAGACCGTCCTCCCTCCTCCCTCCTGCCTTAGCGCCTCCCGGTCCGGTCTTCAAGGAAAGTTTTGTATTTTTCCGATGATCCTGGCACGGCGGTGCCCGACCCAGCTGCTCCTGGCACCCTCCAGGCCAGGGGGCCGAGCCCGGGGCCATAGGCACGGGGGTGGGAAGCCCATCCTCGAAGGACCTTCATTCCTCACCACACCCAGCCGTGGTAGAAGGGAAACCAAGGCCCCGAGAGGGTCTGGGGCTGGTCTGAGCCCCTCAGCCGGGAAGCCAGAGCCAGGAAAGGCTGATGAGAGGATGTGGGGATGGGCCTGCCAGCTCCCGGAGGCGTCGTGAGCACGGTTCACCTCCTGCGTGACTGTGGGTGAGTCCCCTCTGCCCCACCCCTCCCTGGCCTCAGTTTCCTCGCCCGTAAAGTGGGTACAGCCACAGCTCTGCCCTGCTTAGCTGTGAGGTGAATCAGCCAATCAAACAACAGTTCCGGAACCCAGCTTGGCAGGCGCTGAGCAAGGTGAGGTAGCAGGGAAGTGCAGGTCGCCCCATGAAATAACCCCATCACCCTGACCCCACACAGTCCCTGGAGGACACTGGGCTGTGTGTGGCCCTAGGCGTGCTGCCTGCTGGGCCACCACCCTTGGCACTGCGGGCACCAGCAGGCCGTGCCTCTGCTCAGAGGCTCAGGCTTTTCAAAGAGCAGCTGCAGCTTCCAGGGTGCCTGTGGGGCATCAGCGAGGTGAGACGAGGGGAGGGAGGCCGTGTGGCTCCGCCGGCGGGGGCTCGGGGTGGAGCCAGGAGGCAGGTGTGAGAGGCAGGAACACTGGACAGGGCTGAGGCCGAGGACACCTCGGTGCATGCTGCTCGCTGGGCGGTCACCCACACGGCATCTGGAGCTAAATGTCCCCTCGGCTTGGCAGGCGCCCTGCCCGGGTCTGCGTGTCCACAGAGCCGGGTCGGGAGTCAGGCACCTGCCCTTCCCCCCACCGCCCCCGCTTCTCCCCAAGGCATTTGCTGTGTCACCTCCTGCAAATCACTTAACCCCTCTGTTCCTGCCATCCTCATCACACAACGGGGGTGGATGGCGGTGGTGGGTGGTGAGGAGGGAAGGGCGGACCTCTGAGTGCACCATTCCCGCCACAGGAATG